GGGAGCAGGGTGTTGGTACCCCTGACTAGTACGACGCTCACGGCGTAACAGCGTACAAGCGTACAAACTATATCCACAATGCGACACCACGTGGTTCTATCCCGAACGGTCGCGAATCACGGGGGATTAGCGACTGGGCTGCGCTCAACCCCAGCAGCAGCACTATGGCAGTAAATGCGAAAACGCAATAGCCGAATAACTTCGGGGTGGCACGACGGAGGACGCAGTAACAAAACGTGGTCGGACACGAAGAACACCAAAAAACGGCACGACGGCACAAGCTGTCACGGATTAGTACAACGGACGAGCGGCGTTTTGCTAGTCTGTCGACGCGATGAGCCACGGATAGCGGACGTTCAAAATCCAACAGGCGAACAATCTGCAAAACAAAAACAAGATGGCCGATCGACAACAGCGCGTACGTGTGTAGAGACAGAAGTCAGAACCTGAACTGGTTGACCGTTGATGGAGACGACCTGCCGCTGGCGGCGCACCACAATCGCGAGAAGGGTGGGGGGTGAGGTTGGATTTCGCGTATGTTCGACACTCGCCGTGACGTACGTCGGCGCAGCGACAGTGTTGCACAAACAGGTTATAACGCTTGAAAATAAATTAACTACAGTAAAATACTTAATGTCTCTCGAGAACAGAATAAATAAATTGAAACATGTATTAATTATTATGAATTTCTAGTAAATACTAGCTATTTACAAATTGTAATAATAAAGTAGACGCTTAATCGTATATCAATGTGCCATAGCCCATAAATATACATATCATACCTACTGCAGTCGAAAATCTAATGTTAAGAATACCTACTTATTATATCAAAAATGATTATAATTTACTATATTTACTATATTTATTATAATTTACCTGCCACATGAGGTAGTTGAAAAACATAAAAACTCGTTTCTAACCTGGATGGTTATAATATTTGGAAATATTTTTTTTTTTTAGATACCCACCTTTTTTACTAGACAGAGGGCTTATAATCATAGGATATATGAACGTAGAGTTCACCATAAAACTAATTTGTTTTTATAAGACAATACCTACTTCTTAGTTATATCACAAAATAACCAGGAGAATCACTTTTCGAAAATAAAATGATGGGTTCTGATGGGGGATAATCATAGGCGCAATTTCATTAAAAAAAACTAAGAGTGCTTACAATGTGCATTTTATCACTTAAGTTTTTTTTTTGTGAGTAGAAGTTTTTGATACATGACATGAACATTATTTGAGGGTGCTAATATTTATTATAAAATTAGGGGAGATAATACGCCTTTCAAATTTGTTTAGAATTATTTATGAGGGGGTGTTGAAGCCCCCCTTCACAACTTTTAAAATGGATTTCCGCCTATGCGAGGTATCATTTCGCCAAATTTATTTTTCAACTAAAATTAATTTATAGTTTACAAATTAGATTCTAATTAGTTATATTTTTGTAACATATATTTCTGTATAAATAATAATTGTT